CATTGCCTAGACTTTTAGTCTATGCTCTAAGTGTCCTTAATGCGACTATTGGTATAACGATCCTCAGACTTGAAGTATTACGTTCTTCGAATGTGTGAACCCGCATGCTTTGATTCATTGTCCTAAGCCGTATGAAATAAGGATGGTACACAGGCTTTGTATTGGGCATGCCGCTGCACGTATTCGAAGACGTAGATTACGTACAAAGAATTTGTCACTACTACTCAAGCAGAATAATGTCTTGTAGGGGCCCATTGATAAGTATGACTGAGGAAATGCATGGCCATGCTGAGATGAGTTTAGACATCTGTTCTCATCAGTCAGACTTGTTAATCAGTAAATAACTTAATGGCTACAAGTTGGATATTTTATATCCCTTGCACTAAGTTAAGACATTGGGACAAAAGGATCTACGTTATACAAAGCCTTAGTCGTAGAAAGGTTTTGACGGAGCAAACGTCTGAACTTATAATTTAGGGGTAATAATGTGTTGCTAGATACCGCTTATTACTTATAGTATTGATGTAGAGTCAATACTGTGGCCAGTTTTATATGTGCCTATATGGGTCACACACTTTGGACAATTTAAAGAGTAAGATTATAAGAAGGGATAATATTTAATTTGTATATTGTAAAATAGTAAAGTAGAATGTATAATATAATATATATGTATGTATATACATTGTACACGGAACATATAAATATATATATGTACTTGTTGCATGTACGAATATATATGTGTATATGTGTATATACATTGTAACGGCACATAAATATATACATATACTTATTATATGTACACGCATATATATGTGTGTAATATGTCTGTAACGTGTACATGTATGTATACATTACTTTATATATATTATATCATGTACATTTTATTTTGGAGTGTCATTTTAATTATGAAAATAATTATTTTGACAAAAACTATTTTAAAGTATATTTTATATACTTGTTTTAAAATGTTTTGGGTATTTTATTTTATATCATAAAAATTATTGATGTTAAATAAAATACACTTTAAATATTTGAGAGGAGAAGAATTTTAAATTGTTCCCCCCCTTCCTATTTTCGTACCTTTGCATAATATGGTGTGTGTGGGGCTTTGTCTCCCACTACACTTAATAATAAGAGGTGTACTTTTGTTTTTTTTAGCTTTTGAAGGTGTTTTTATCAATATATATCAAGCATTTCTTCACTCTATGGTGGAAGTTTTCGGCCAAGAGAGAAGTATAGGGAGAGAGAATTATTTTGGGTACCAAAATTATTTTGGTGTAGAAAATTATTATAATATTTTCTTTAAAATATTATTGATATATTTTCTACAATTGAATATACAAGATTTATACTATCCCTAAAATAATCTTTATATTAAATATACTATTATAATCTTTACCAGCATAAAGATTATAATACACTCCGGAGATTGTTCGTGTGTAAAAGTTAGAGGCCGGACACTTGAACGGCTACGTTTGCTCCTTCAACATCTTTGCACGACTTCACATTCATACCGCTTTACCGGAGAAGGTATAACTTCCTATCTCTAGCTATAGTTTTAGTACGTGTTCTTGGGCTAGTAATCACTATTGGGAGTTTAAATTTTTGTATTTCCGCTGCCCTCCCAACCGTGGTTACCTTTCAGAAATAAACTTTCGGTGTGTGTGTGGATAATAAAAACCAATTAACCTCCAAGGACCCATAAAAATATTTTGGGTACCAAAGTGTTACTTTGTTGGAACCCCGTTCATGAAATCAGGGGGAACCGTGCCTATAGCGCTTTCCAGAAAGCGCTGTTGAAGGAAACACCGTCAACCAGCTTGAGCCAACAACGCTGTACAATACACCAACAGCGTTGTCCCAAGGAGTTCCCTTTACCTTTGCTTTCCAGAAACTTTTTAAACATCGATGTCTCTTTTCAAAACATCGCTGTCTATCCTAAACACCTTGTTTTCAACCCACACCAGAAACTTTTCAAACATCGATGTCCTTCTATTCAACATCGCTGTCCTTTTTTTTTACAAATTTTTTTCTCTATCGTAAACAGCGATGTAGGGAAACCCAACAGCGCTGTTCTAATGGGTGCACACCCTTACACACTTCCAGAAACTTTGGGAACATCGCTGTAGGATACCCAACATCGTTGTCCATTTGACACTTGTTTTTAAAACTTGACGCAAAACAGCGCTGTCCAGAGGCGCAACAGCGCTGTCCCAACAGCGATGTAGCCTCCGGAACATTGTTGTTCTGGATAAATTTTTCAAAAAAAAAAATCCGTTGGTAAGTGCATTAATTACTCCAACAGCAATATTTTTTGAAAATATGAACGTTGAGAACATCTTTTTCTATAAATTGGGCCCCCTCTCTTCACTTTTACACACACAAACACAATTCTCTTCAATATCTTTGCATAATTCATCTTCTCCACTCTTTTCTCTTGAGATCTCTTCACCATGGGCAAAGACAAGAGCAGGGCTGCCACCTCCGGGAACACGAAGTCCAAATCCCGAGCACCATTAACAAACTCCGAGGAGCGCCTCTACTACGGCGACGGATCGTGTCTTTGGTTCGATTCTGAGGAGGAGTGCACCCGTTTCCTCACCTTCTTATCTAAACAAGTTGTGGCTCAACCACGAATCGTCCCGGAGCGCTTCCCGGAGGTGCAGGGCTACGACGATCTAGACGCGCAGCTTCACTAAGCCGGCCTTTGGCCGTTCGTCTCCCGGGCTCGGAAGGAGATCAACCCGGCGCTGATTCGGGTCTTTTACTCCAACCTCCGGCGTGAGGACGACGTGCTCTACTCTCTTGTCAAGAGCACGCCGATTGAGCTTTCTGTTGAGCAGCTTGGGCGCATCACCTGTTGAAACACGGGTTTATCACGTTTTCGTACTAAAGCCGCGTTTGTTGTTATGACAGGTTTTGATAATGCCAAACCGCCGTGAACGAGACAAGTCATTGAATATACAAGGCGAGAACCAAAGATGATAAGAAAGAGAACAAGAGCCAAACGAAGACCAAGAACGAAGACCTTAGTCTTAGCATCGTTGAGTCGGTCTTTATTGTGATCAAGACCGACCCAATCTTTACACCTTGGCTCTTTAGGCTAAAATTCTTTTCAATGCATTTCACACATCATAAAAATGTTTTTCAAATATGTATAAAACATTAAAAACACTTGGTGTTCGCCCAAACCAAAAACCAAGCCATCCGGCGTTCGGGTTTCAGAAACCGGCATTCGGGATTCGGTTTTCGGCGTTGGTTTTTGGGGTCCGAACTAACCAAATGGTTTTCAAATTTTTATGATTGGTTTTTACTTCTG